GGCAAGGGCCCTATAGCAGGAGTGAATGGTTTTCTTACATTCGAAGGAAATCTGGACGGGACTCTTTCTTCCCATCCATGCAATCACAGATCTAACTGCCACTTGCCAGTTAACCATGTTAATCATCTCTCCCTGTATTTGTAGGATAGATATTAGGGCCAAGAGCCTTCTACATCTGTCTCTACCAGGTTTATCTCATCACATTTTGTTCATTTCTCTATGGTATCCAGCTGGTTTTGGAGCTTAGACATTCATCCTTCATAGCATAATCATTACTCTAGCCACATCCTCATTCCAGTCCCTGATAAAAATGTCACATTGGACAAGTCCGAGGAATGAAGCCCCATGGCAAGCCTCCAAAGGCTTCCCCACCCCTACCAGGTCGACAGTCATCAAGACTTTCTTAGTTCCTCTTATTAGTTCTACATTTTCCAAAACATCCCTCTTGACAAAGAAAATGGCAATGTCGTTGCAGTTTAGTAGCTAAGCTTGGTCTATTCCATCTGTAAGCAGTATAAAATCTGTTTCTAGCAGCAAGCTGAAATGTTGTCACATATAAATGGCACCACAAGTCATAAGTGAATGCAAGGCAGGACAGTGAATATTATTGACAGACTTTGAGCCATTTACTACACTAGACTTGTAACTTGAGAGTTTCATTGTATCTTTCACAGAATGCTGCCAGACATTTTGTGAGCATTCAATAGACATTTATTGAATAAGTATATGTGTGTTACATTAAGTATATAGGAAAAAAAGTGCCCAAATGAGTTCTGAGACCCTGGAACCACCAGGTTATGATTTATCTACCTCATAGTATTCCAGTTATCTAATGCTGTGTAACAAACAATCTCAAACTTAGTGTCTTAAAACAACTAAAACAGGGCCAGGTGCAGTGGCTTACCCCTGTAATACCAGCACTTTAGGAGGCTGAGAGGGGCGGATCACGAGGTCAGGAGTTCAAGACCAGCCTGACCAACATGGTGAAACCCCATGTCTAAAAAAAAATACAAAAATGAGTGGGTGCAGTGGTACGTGACTGTAGTCTCAGGTACTGGGGAGGCTGAGGCAGGAGAATCGCTTGAACCCAGAAAGCGGAAGTTGTAGTGAGCCGAGATCACACCACTGCACTCCAGCCTAGGTGACAGAGACTCCATCTCAAAAAAAAAAATTAAAAATTAAAAAAACTACATTTATTTTGCTCATGAGTCTGCAATTTGGGCAGGGACAACTCATCTCCAGTCCACTCAGCATTACCCAGAGCAGTTTTTTTTTTTTTTTTTAGATGGAGTTTCGCTCTTGTTGCCCAGGCTGGAGTGCAATGGCACAATCTCGGCTCACCACAACCTCTACCTCAACCTGGGGCAGTTTTAAGCTTTGAAGGCTCATTCACTTGCGTGGTTAGTGGTTGATGCTGGCTGATGGCTCTGACCTCAGCTGAGGCTATAGCTGGAATGCTGACATGTGGTCTTTCCTTGTTGATGCTTGGTTTTCTCAGATTTTTTTTTTTTTTTTTTTTTTTTTTTTGAGACGGAGTTTCGCTCTTGTTACCCAGGCTGGAGTGCAATGGCGCGATCTCAACTCACTGCAACCTTCGCCTCCTGGGTTCAAGCAATTCTCCTGCCTCAGCCTCCTGAGTAGCTGGGATTACAGGCACGCGCCACCATGCCTAGCTATTGTTTTTTGTATTTTTAGTAGAGACAGGGTTTCATCATGTTGACCAGGATGGTCTCAATCTCTTGACCTCATGATCCACCCGCCTCGGCCTCCCAAAGTGCTGGGATTACAGGCGTGAGCCACCGCACCCAGCGGTTTTCTCAAAATTTAAAGGCATCCTGAAAGAATGTCAGGCAGAACCATGTGGACTTTTATGACCTAGTCTCAGAAGTCACAAAGCATCAATCCTTCCAAGTGTTATTCACTAAACAAAGTCACGACTGGGCCCGGTGGCTCACACCTGACTGAGCACTTTGGGAGGCCAATGTGAGTGGATCACGAGGTCAGGAGTTCGAGACCCGCCTGACCAACAAGGTGAAACCCCATCTCTACTAAAAATACAAAAGTTAGCCGGGTGTCGTAGCGGGCACCTGTAATCCCAGCTACTCAGGAGACTGAGGCAGAAGGATCGCTTGAAACAAGAAGCGGGAGATTGCAGTGAGCCGAGATCATGCCGCTGCACTCTAACCTGGGCAAAAGAGAGAAACTCCATCTCAAAAAAATAAAAAAGAAAGTCACTAAGGCCAGTCTGTACTCAAGAAATGGTATTAAAATGCCAAAGAATACACAGATGTTTTAAAACCACTGCCAATGGAACTGAATGAGACACAGATTTGACCATTGTCAAGCAATGAATGCCAAACAGGCTGCCTGCTGTGTTAGAGATGGGCCACAAGGCTACGATGAGCAAGAATAAGGAATGCCTGCAAGTCTGCTTAAAGTGCCTTTGTTTAGGAGTCTTGCATACTTACTCTGTCTCCAAACATATGTCTCCATAGCTATATTTAGAAGTTGATTCCTGGCCGGGCGTGGTGGCTCAAGCCTGTAATCCCAGCACTTTGGGAGGCCGAGGCAGGTGGATCACGAGGTCAGGAGATCGAGACCATCCTGGTCAACATGGTGAAACCCCGTCTCTACTAAAAATACAAAAAAAATTAGCTGGGCATGGTGGCGCGTGCCTGTAATCCCAGCTACTCAGGAGGCTGAGGCAGGAGAATTGCCTCAACCCAGGAGGCAGAGGTTGTGGTGAGCCGAGATCATGCCACTGCACTCCAGCCTGGGCAACGAGAGCCAAACTCCGTCTCAAAAATAAATAAATAAATAAATATTTTTTAAAAAAATTTTTAAAAAATAAAAATAAAAGTAGAGACAGGATTTCTCTGCTAAAAAGTAGAGACAGGGTTTCTCCATGTTGGCAAGCTGGTCTCGAACTCCTTACCTCAGGTGATCCTCCAGCCTTGGCCTACCCAAAGTGCTGGGATTACAGGATGAGCCACCGTGCCTGGTCATGAGTGTGATATTCTAATGAGGTTATTTTAAGTATCCACTTGAGGCCAGGCACAGTGGTTCACACTTGTAATCCCAGCACTTTGGGAGGCTAAGGCGGATAGATCACCCGAGGTCAGCATTTTGAGAGCAGCCTGACCAACATGGTGAAACCCAGTCTCTACTAAAAATACAAAAATTATCTGGGCATGGTGGCGCATGCCTGAAATCCCAGCTATCTGGGAGGCTGAGGCACAGGAATCACTTGAACCCGTGAGGCAGAGTTTACAGTGAGCCGAGATCGTGCCACTGCACTCCAGCCTGGGCAACAAAGCAAGATCTGTCTCAAAAATAAATAAATAAACGCCGCAGTGACCTGTGATCCCACCACTACACAGATACCCTGCCTCAAAAAAAAAAAAAAAAAGTATTCACTTGATGCCTGTTGTTTATGTCATTTAAGTTTATGACAAGGCTATTTTATAAATGAAGAAACTAAGGTGCAAGCCAGGTGCAGTGTCTCACGCTTGTAACCCCAGCACTTTGGGAGACCCAGGTGGGTGGATCACGAGTTCAGGCGTTCGAGACCAGCCTGGCCAACATAGCAAAACCCTGTCTCTACTAAAAATACAAAAAAATTAGCCAGGTGTGGTGTGGATGCCTGTAATCTCAGCTACTCAGAAAGCTGAGGCAGAATTGCTTGAATCTGGGAAGCAGAAGTTGCAGTGAGCCGAGATCGAGCCCCGGCAACAGTAGACTCGGTTAAAAAAAAAAAAAAAAAAAAAAAAATTGCCCAAGTTCACACAAGCTTAAGCTTTCTTCCCATTGTTCCAAACACACTGAGAGAAGGTGAGAAAAGCAGACAAAATCAGGACGGGAGAAGGCAGGGACAGTGCTTAGGCTTGTAATCCCAGCACTTTGAGAGGTTAAGGCAGGTGGATGGCTTGAACCCAGAAGTTCAAGACCAGTCTGGGGAACATGGTGAAATCCCAAAAAGAATACAAAAGATTTGCCGCTGGTGGTGACGCAGGTCCGCAGTTCCAACTACTCAGGAGGTAGAGGTGGAAGAATCACTTGCCCCTGGGAAGTCCAGGCTGCCCTGAGCCGTGATCACACCACTGCATGCCAGCCTAGGTGACAGAGTGAGACCCTGCCTCAAAAAAAGTAAATAAGTGAAATAAAATTAGGACAGAATTTAGGATGTTACCACCAAATCCCACTTTAAAGGGCTTGGTAATACTTCACACTTGAAAAAAGGAAGCTCAGAACAAATAAAAGAATGACCAGCCTTACCTCCTGGGCTGGTAATTTATGGAACTGTTAACGGTGTTGCACAGGCTGAAAATACAACTTTTCTAAGAAAGATGTGAATAATTGCGGTAAACCACTCCTACAATGGGTTAACAAGAAAAACAACGTTTATAGGCATGTGGATCCCTATTATCCTCAAGGTTAACTTCAAGGAGGAAAACTGCACCCGCTGATACAGTGTTCCTAGGAGCCCGGGGAGAAAAGAAACACTGCGAGCATTCCTAGGACGCCGTGTTCCCACCACAGCCCTTCCCTTCACACAATGCATCTAACAGCATTTAAAGAGCACCCGCCAAGCCAACGATCCTGCTGGAAACGCCCAGCTCAGGGAACAGGGGACTACCGATCAGAGGGCAACCACCCAAGAGCAATGGAAACCTAACCCCGCCCCTGCTCCACTACTAGACCCTCGGCTCGCATTCCTTTAGTGCAGGGCTACACTAGGACTCAGCCTCCCTAAGGGGAGGAAAAGCGGGGGAGGGAAGGGGACTCTGGAGGAGCAACAGCAAGAGGCATGGGGGCGACAGGGGTGGGGCGTCTCCTAGAGCGAAGATTGCTGCAGAGCGCGCGTGCACGCCCGCACATCCACACCCACGGCTACACATCACATCTGCACACACACAAAACCACACACCCTCCCCCACCGGTCCCCACATCCTTTCTGCGGGGTGAGCAGCAGATTCCCGGAAAGGGGGAAATGCAGCCCCAAAAGCAAACCCGGGGGCCTGGCGCCCACCCTGGCGGCGCCTACAGCCCCCACGCCGGGAACACAGCGAGCTGGGGGTGCCGGGCGCCGGAGAAGCCGCGCCCAGCCGGGCTGGCAGCCCAGCGGAGGGCGCGTCAGGGCGAGGAGCCGCCCGCGCTACCCCCGCCCCTCGGGTGCCAGCGCCGCCCCCGCTGCGGCGGGTGAGGGGCGGGGCGGGGCGCGGCGTATATAAGGCTAGGGGCGGGCTCCGCTCTTTTGTCTCTTGCTGCAGCAACGCGAGTGGGAGCACCGGGAACCCGGGCTTGGAGCGGGACCGTACGGTGAGTACGGCGTCGGGGCTGGGGGCCCACCCGGGGTGGGGTCGGATCCGGTGCACCGGGCAGGCGCGCAGCGACCGCGACGGGCGCCCTTCTCGCACCGGACGCCGGGGCCGGCGACCACGCCCTGGGGCCCAGGAGGAGGGTGCTGGACGCGCCCAGATCCTCGGCCTGGGGGCTGCTGGGCACGCCTTGGCGCGAGTGCCACGTCGAGAGGCGTCGGCGGGGAGCGCGGAGGGGAACGCTGGCCTCCAGCCCGAGGTCAAGCGCCTTGGTTTGTCCACTAGGATTGTTTTAAGAAAATGGCAGACAAACCAGACATGGGAGAAATCGCCAGCTTCGATAAGGCCAAGCTGAAGAAAACGGAGACGCAGGAGAAGAACACCCTGCCGACCAAAGAGAGTGAGTGTGCCTCGGTCTCCTGCGCCCCAGCCCAACCCCTCGCCCAGCCCTTCCCTTGCAAACCCACTCCTCCACCCCCCATCCGGCCGTTGCCCCTGCCTGGTCTGGGAGACCGCGGCCACTCCTTCAGTTTCACAAAGAGCCTTGTGTCTCTCCAGCCCCAAGCTTCCTTCTAAATCCCCACACCTCGTGGGTGCCTCGCCCGCACTGGGACGCACCTCGGTTGCGGGTGGGGGTTGCAATCCCCTTCCAGCGCCGGCTTCCCGCTCTCCACAGCCATTGAGCAGGAGAAGCGGAGTGAAATTTCCTAAGAGCCTGGAGGATTTCCTGCCCCCGTCATCTTCGAGACCCTAGTCCTGATGTGGAGGAAGAGCCACCTGCAAGATGGACACGAGCCACAAGCTGCACTGTGAACCTGGGCACTCCGCGCCGATGCCACCGGCCTGTGGGTCTCTGAAGGGACCCCCCCAATCGGACTGCCAAATTCTCCGGTTTGCCCCGGGATATTATAGAAAATTATTTGTATGAATAATGAAAATAAAACACACCTCGTGGCATGGCTGGCGTGGTCTGAGTCTCTTAGTTGAGTATGCGTGGGCTGTGCCGCTGCAGCAAAGCCCCCCTCGATGGAGTCGAGTTCCTGCCGCAAGGGGGAGGTGGGTCACAGAATGGGCTGACTTGGAGGAACTTTCCAATTTTGGCTTTACCTGCTTCTCCGATTTCGTGGCTTGTTAGCCGCTTAACTTGCTCATAAGCAATCGGCGTAAAAATTTAACCCCATTTTGTCTCCAAGTTGCTTTGGAAAATGCTTTTGAAAAAGAGCAGGGTTTCATTTCGATAAGCTTCGAAAGCCCCACTGGTCCCTTCTGGCCTCCTATTAGCTGACTCAGGAGAGAACAGTGATTTTAAAGTCTGGGAGAAAGGAAAGACAATCTGGAATGTTGGAAATTGGGTGAGGTCACAAAGTCTCCGGAAGTCTTTCTTCTGGAGCTTAAAACAAAGGCAGGATCTAGGAATACAGCTACCGGAACATCAGAATTAGAGGAACCAACACTAGAACTGGGGGAAGGGGAGAGCTTTTTGTGTTTTAACCCTAGTTCAGAACCTCCCACAAAAGCACTAGCCATTAGAGGAAGTGCTAGGCTGAGCCGCTACCGCGCAATGCTCAGCAGGAAGGGTGGGGATGTGGTGGGAGGGAGGGCTGGCGCTGGCGGCGGAGCTCCAGGGGATTACACCTCAAACCAACCCGGAAAAAAATGGAACCAGCCCGGGGGTGGGGGAGTGGGGGCGTGACAGTTGGGAACCTGGGGCTGCAGAGCATTCAGAAGCAAAAGAAACAGGCTTATAATTACAGGGGTGGAGTTTTAAGGAGGGAGGAGAGGTCACTGCTTAGCGATTCGTCCCACATTTTTGCCTGGCCCCAAGGGGCTGGGCACTGTGTGAAGCAGTTAATTCGAATGAGGTACGGTCCCTGTCCACAAGGAATTTTAAATCTAGTGAGTGAGATAGGCAGCCACAGCAGACCAGAGTCAGGACATCCAGGCTTGGCAGAGAGACCCATGCCCAAAGACATTGTCTTTGAACTCCTATCTGCACCTCCCTCCTGGTACCTGGACACATGCATCACCTCCTTCATTACAGAAATGGAGGAACTTTTTTTTTTTTTTTTTTTTTTTTTGAGATAGAGTCTCGCTCTTGTCACCAGACTGGAGTGCAATGGCCTAATCTCAGCTCACTGGAACCTCCGCCTCCCAGGTTCCAATGATTCTCCTTCCTCAGCCTGCCAAGTAGCTGGGATTACAGGCATGCAACACCACACCTGGCTAATTTTTTTGCAATTTTAGTAGAGACAGGGTTTTACCATGTTGGCCAGGCTGGTCTCAAACTCCTGACCTTAGATAATCTACCTACCTTGGCCTCTCAAAATGCTGGAATTACAGGTGTGAGCCACCATGTCTAGCCAAGATTCTTATTAATCAGTATCAGTGACTCACAGTAGCCAGCACTCAGTAGACACTCATAAATGCTCACTGAACTGTAACTGAAGTATCACCTGGTCCCACCTGCTCCATCTTGGCCATGCTAAATCCAGGCTGCTATCAGCCCTCCTCCCCCACCGCCTTGTTGATTGTATTTTATTCTATGTACACATTGACAGGACCCATGCATGGTGACTTGTGGAAGTTCAGGGAAACCAAACACCTTTATTTCCTTCCCTGAGTCGAGTTCAGGATGCAATCCTATTAAAATAAAGGGGAGTCCAGTTAACTCACAACTGAAGCCATTGATAAGAAGCTCTATATTACCCAGATGACAACTGCAGGTCTCAGCCAGTTAAAAGATTTTGAATATTGGGTCGCTGATTCGTGAGCAGTTTAGAAGCCGTGTTCCTGTTCAGCTTAATTCAGCATGCATCTTTTTTTTTTAAGCACTCATTGTACTAGCTAGGGTGACAGAGTGAGACTCCATCTCAAAAAAAAAAAAAAACCAAAATTTAAAAACCGTATACACGGAAAAACACACAGAAGTATACATTTTGATGAATCTTTTTTTTTTTTTTTTTTTTTTTTTTTGAGTTGGGAGTCTTGCTCTGTTGCACAGGATAGCGTACAGTGGCACCATCTCAGCTCACTGCAACCTCTGCCTGCTGGGTTCAAGTGATTCTTGGGCCTCAGCCTCACCAGTAGCTGGGATTACAGGCGCATGCCACCATGCCTAGCTAATTTTTGAATCTTTAGTAGAGACGGGGTTTCACCATGGTAGCCAGGTGGTCTCCATCTCCTGACCTCATTATCTGCTGCCTTGGCCTCCCAAAGTGCTGGGATTACAAGCATGAGCCACCTCGCCTGGCCCAGTTCGAGGAATCTTCACAAACTGAACACACCCGAATGCCTCCTTCCGATCATACACGTATGTGTGTTCTAACAGCAGGTATACATTTTGCCTGTTTTTTTTTGTTCTTTTTTTTTTTTTGAGACAGAGTTTCGCTCTTGTTACCCAGGCTGGAGTGCAATGGCGCGATCTCGGCTCACCGCAACCTCCGCCTCCTGGGTTCAGGCAATTCTCCTGCCTCAGCCTCCTGAGTAGCTGGGATTACAGGCACGTGCCACCATGCCCAGCTAATTTTTTGTATTTTTAGTAGAGACGGGGTTTCACCATGTTGACCAGGTTGGTCTCGATCTCTCGACCTTGTGATCCACCCGCCTCAGCCTCCCAAAGTGCTGGGATTACAGGCTTGAGCCACCGCGCCCGGCCTGTTTTTTTTTTTTTTTTGAGGCGGAGTTTCGCTCTTGTTACCCAGGCTGGAGTGCAATGGCGCCATCTAGGCTCACCGCAACCTCCGCCTCCTGGGTTCAGGCAATTCTCCTGCCTCAGCCTCCGGAGTAGCTGGGATTACAGGCATGCGCCACCATGCCCAGCTAATTTTTAGTATTTTTAGTAAAGACGGGGTTTCACCATGTTGACCAGGATGGTCTCAATCTCTCGACCTTGTGATCCACCCGCCTCAGCCTCCCAAAGTGCTGGGATTACAGGCTTGAGCCACCACGCGCGGCCAACATTTTGCCTGTTTTTGAACATAACATAAATAGATGCATGACTTCTATTCATGTAGGTAAAGCATCTCTTTATACAAGTCCAGAACAACTAATTTTGCCCCATTTTCCTATAAACTATATTTGCCAAGAATATAAACTATCATGTAATTGAGGGATGCCTTTTTTTTAACTCACAGTTTCACTAAGAATTGTTCACCATTGCAGAAAATCATTTCACTAATAGAAATGTCCTCTTGGTTTCTGAATGTTTTCATACAATACAATTGTATCGTGTCCATCTGAAGCTGCTGGATTATGATAATATTACATATAAGTGAAAACATACATAAAGTTAAGACTACTTCTTTGTATGCTAGAATATTGTTGTACCATATTTCATTAGTCAGCTTTTGATAAGTTTTGCTGCAGTAACAAAAAAAAAACCTCAAAATCTCAATGGCTTACAACAACAAAAATCTACTTCTTGTTTACGTTATACATCAGCTGCTGCTCTGCTCCTGTTCCACATACCTTTTTTCATTCTGATAGCCAGGCTAAAGGGGCAGCCCCTATCTGAGACATGCTGTTGTTATGGCAGAGTCATACGTCTTCTTCTCAGATATGACACTTCCATTCACGTTGCATTGGTCAAAGAGGCACAACAGGCTGGGATGCATAATTCTATTGTGGGGAAAGCAGGAAATAAGTAGAACTTGTAATACAATTTACTATAATACTAAAATGCATATACCTATTTTTTTTTATAAATTACCTTTCTATATTTTACCTTTATATTCTCGTTAGGGCTTATATTAATTTATATTTATATGTTTTTTTTTTTTTCGAGATGGAGTTTCGCTCTTGTTACACAGGCTTGGAGTGCAATGGCGCGATCTCGGCTCACCGCAACCTCCGCCTCCTGGGTTCAGGCAATTCTTCTGCCTCAGCCTCCTAAGTAGCAGGGATTACAGGCATGCGCCACCATGCCCAGCTAATTTTTTTGTATTTTTAGTAGAGACGGGGTTTCATCATGTTGACCAGGATGGTCTCGATCTCTTGACCTCGTGATCTACCCACCTCAGCCTCCCAAAGTGCTGGGATTACAGGCGTGAGCCACCACGCCTGGCCATTTATTTATATTTTTAATGTGTGTATAGGAGCAGGTTATATTGTCTTTGATTTTCATTTCAGGAAAGAGGAGTGTTATAAAATACTTGATATGTGGCTGGAAATATCATGCCTTTGTAATCCCAGCATTGTGGGAGCCAAGGCAGGTAGAGCATGAAGTCAGGATTTTGAGACCAGCCTTGCCAACAAAGTGAAATTGAAACCCCGTCTCTACTAAAAATGCCAAAATTAGCTGGACGTGGTGGTGGGTGCCTGTAATCCCAGCTAGTTGGGAGGCTGAGGCAGCAGAATCGCTTCAATCTGGGAGGCAGAGGTTGCAGTGAGCCAAGATCACCCCGTTGCATTCCAGCCTGGTGACAGAGTGAGACTCCATCTCAAAAAATAATAATAATAATAATACTTAATATGTAAGAAGAAGTTGGTTCTGAGGGATTGGGAACCAGTGGTCCAAACCAATCACGGTCATTCCCTTATCTTTGCCTGCTATTGACTTAAGAAGTGGGGGATGGCCGGGCGCGGTGGCTCAAGCCTGTAATCCCAGCACTTTGGGAGGCCAAGGCGGGTGGATCACAAGGTCGAGAGATCGAGACCATCCTGGTCAACATGTGAAACCCCGTCTCTACTAAAGATACAAAAAATTAGCTGGGCATGGTGGCACGTGCCTGTAATCCCAGCTACTCAGGAGGCTGAGGCAGGAGAATTGCCTGAACCCAGGAGGCGGAGGTTGCGGTGAGCCGAGATCGTGCCATTGCACTCCAGCCTGGGTAACAAGGGCGAAACTCCGTCTCAAAAAAAAAAAGAAGTGGGGGTTGTGATTCTGGCCAAGGAGACCCGAGAGGAAGCCTATTTACAGGCTTCTTGGAAGATTTTGTCTGCTTTTTAAGATAGGCAAGTACA